AAACCTGGTTCTTACTATTTCAACCACAAAATTCATTATAAGTCAGCTTTTTCCTGGGAGATAAGACCTTTTTCTCGTTAGAAAAATTGACTTTTGTCTTCTCTATTTTTTTTCAACTCATGGGTGCGTTTTTAATCATAAAATGAGCAGATATTTGGCTGTGCTTAAAGAGGTCATTCTTTGATTTTGCTAGAGAATATTCATGTTTATGCTAATCTTTTATGTCCTTTTTAAAATATAATAAAATCCCATTAATCTGGACTCCATTAATTTAAAATTTTGGTTAGGTTTATTTGATTTTGGCTGTAATTTACTTTTGTATTTCAGGAAAGAGAGTGAAAAAAATCTTAAAAAAATATGTGACCTTTTATTATTATTATTTAACTAGATGGGGAAGGGGAAATAAAAGAAATGTCTATTTCTAGCTATCGGAATGATCACTCAACAAATATTTATTGAGCACTTACTATGTGCTAGACTCAAGTAACACATCAGTGAACAAAACAAATTATTGCCCATATTGAGTTTACGTTCTAGTTTGAATGACTTAGTGAATTTGCTCTTGACATATATACAACAGTCAGAAAATTAGTCTTACTTATTAGAAGATATTTAACATCTCTTTCTAGTAATCTGTCCAGAATTACTGTTACTTGGAAAGAACGTAAAAAATACTACTGTTTATAATATTCTATAAATGACCATTTTTTTAAAAATGGCTTTACATTAAACTCCTCTCCCAAATCAGTCAGGTTTTGATGTAAGACCAAATTAAATAAGCTAGAAGGTCAAGCTTGAGTGTTACCATAATACCTTAACATTACCTTTTTGTTGTTAGTGTCTTAAGCATTTCCTATTTGCAAACCATTTGCTATAATTTCCTTCATTATAAGTTTTATAACAACCCAATATGGTATTACTTATCCTCCTCTCACAGGAGGCTGAGGCTCAACAAAACTAAATAACTTCCAAGATCCCACAGTTAACAACTATGGTTGATAATGTCAGATAACAGCACTAAGCTCCATGCACTTGGATGAGAAGCCTGGAGGTCCAGCATCTGAGGACGAAGGCCAATGCACAAGATTGTAGAGGAGAAAGAAAGAGCCTGGCTCCTTGGCTCTCATTAAGTCATTATGCCAGCCCTGTACTACCTTCACCTATGACCTGATATAAATAAAGCTGCATCTGTTCAAGTCACAGCATTTGGGTTTTCTCATATTTGCATCAAAAAAGACACCTTACTGGCAAGTCTCAGAACTGGAAACCAAATGTAAAACTCTTAAGTCCTTGGTCTTTCTGATGAAACAGTCTCAGTACTCATAACTCAACTACTGGTATTCTTCAATTTATAAAGAAGATGTGTCCCTCAAAAGCCATGTGTAACTAAAACAAAAAAACACATGTAAAAAATTTAAACATACATGATTTTGAATGCATTAATGAATTTTAAAAGAAATCAATAATAAATAATCTTATCAGCTATTTGGAGAATATTTTTTATGACATTAAATAGGAAATTAAGTGGTGGTTGGTAAGTTTTTGCTAACAAATATATTTTCTCAAATTGTGTTACGTTTGTTCCAAATTAACAATGCAGTTTTATTGTCAAGAAGCTGTAAAGGCAGGTTAAGTGGGAACTGAGAGGATTAATCCACACACACTAAGATGGGAGTGACCAACAAGATACTAACAAGTGATGGCAAGAATGTGAAGAAATTGGAACACTCATACGCTCCCGGTGGGAATGTAAGATGATGCAGCTGCTTTAGAAAATAGTGTGGCAGCTTCTTAAAAGGTTAAACAGAGTTACCATATGACACAGCAGTTCTATTTCTAACTATAGAGCCAAGAGACAAAAACCTATGTCTACACAAAATATTGTACATAAATATTAATAGAAGCATTGTTCATTATGCATAAGAGCTGAAAAGTGAAAACAACCTAAATTCCAGCAACTAATGAGTGGATAAAGTATGATATATCCATACAATGGAACGTTATTCAGCTGAAACAAGAAATGAAGTATTGATACATGGATGAACCTTGAAAATATGACTACTGAAAGAAGCCAATGACAAAAGACTATGTAGTATATGATTTCTTTTATATGAAGTTTCCAAAATAGGCAAATCCACAGAGTGTCCAGGGCTGGGAAAGTTGAGAAAAGGTGAATGACTGCTAATAGATAAGGGCTTCCTTTTTGGCATGATGAGAATGTTCTAAAATTGATTGTGGTGATAGTTGCACAACTCTGTGGATATACTGAAATCATTGAATGATTTATATAATTTATATAAGGTGAATTGTATGGTATGTGAATTATACTCAACAAAACTGCTATATTTTTAAAAGTAACCAGCAAGCCACAATCAGCCCAGAGATAGTGAAGAGGTCCAGGAAATAGCAAAAATTCTCAAGGCTCCAGTCTCTCTTTCAATCTGGCACTTCCTAGTGAGCTTGAACTGTGGGGTTTGCTCCTACAGTACCCTCATTTTCATATTCCTAAAGTGGACTTAGCAATGAGACTCTAGTTGTCTTGTTCTCACGACCTTTTTTTCATCTCATGGAGACTATCTTACCTCAGAGGCAAAGGGTAGAGATTAACTCTCAGACCCTTGTTAGAATCCTGGCTCCCCAGGTCTTAGCCAAGTGACTTTGGAGAGACCATATGAGCCCACTAAGCCATCTATAAAATGGGAACAGTAATAATAGTTACCTCACAAGGCTGAGGATTGAAGACATAATGCACATGAACTACATACAGAGCACATTGCTTAGCATATTGTGTATTATTTGCCAGTGCAACCGATTTCTGATCTCAGTGTTACCTTCATCCCTTTAATACCTGGCCACTCCTCTGTTTAACTCCTGCTCAGAATGAGAGGTGTGAGCTTCTTGCTCCTGGCACAGAGCTAGTGAAGCCTGGCTTAGCAATGTGCTCATAAAAATGTCTAGTTTTTACCCAGAATTTCTTGAATGAAGGTGTTACTTTTTATGTTTCATTTAATCACAATTATTCCACACATCTAACAGGTGGAAAAGAGGAGCAAATTTGGAAGGTTATTCTCTTCCCTCATGATAAGACCTCGATAGCATCTTTTAAATATGCCCTGTGATCTGGTTCTCTACACCATTTCAGCAGAAAATAACTAGATTAGATATAAGGCAATCAAGCCAGCCCTCTCTGTAGCGCTGTGGCCCTGGACATATTTATTGCTTAACCTTGCTGAGCCTCAGTAGCCTTGCTTAAGAAGATCAGATAAAATAATTTTATACACCTCACAGTGTTGTAGAGGGAACTCAATGAGGTAACACATATAAAACTTTTGGCTCAGTGCTTGGCAAACAGCAATGGTCTAATAAATGTTTTTAAAATAAGTAGTTTGTGAAATTATTTGAGAGAAAAAATGGTACTTCAAATATACTACTGAAGGCATTCTTTTTAAGAAACAAAGAAAACAATAATAGCGAAATACTGAAAACAGTAAATGAGTGGATCAAACAACTGTGGTACATTTACACAAGGGAATACTATGCAGCAGAAGGAAAGAAAGAGCTCCTACCTTTTGCAACAATGTGGATGGAACTGGAGAGCATTATGCTAAGTGAAATAAGCCAGGCAGTGAAAGACAAATGCCATACGATTTCACCTATAAGTGGAATCTAATCAACAAAACAACCAAGCAAGCAAAATATAACCAGAGACATGGAAATAAAGAACAAACTGACAATAACCAGAGGGGAGAGGGGAGAAGGATAATGGGACAAAGAAGGGGAAGGATCATCAACAAACAGTTATAAATTATAGGACCCATGGACAAAGACAACTGGGGGTGGGGGGAGAATTGAATGTGGGAGGTGGGAGGTGGGGGTGGGTAGAGTCAGGGAGAGGAATGGGGGGAAAATCAGGACAACTGTAACCGAACAACAATAAAAAGAAAAAAAAAGAAAACAAGAAACATGGATAAGGTGACCAACTTATCCCAATGTGCCTACTTTATTCAAATTAATGTTTTTATTTCCATCTTTAACACTATCAGAGGAGTCCAAACAGGCATACATGGATATAGTTTAAATGTAACTTAGAAATATTTGAACTATGTATACTGAGGAACAGAAAGGGATTTTTTATGTCAACCATTTCCTATTTTGCAGTTTCCGTACAGTAGAAACTAAAGGTACATTTTTCCAAAATTTAATTTAGTATCAAGTAATGTAACTTTTATGATCAACCATTTGTCTTTAAGCATAAAAGTTAAGAGATTTTGGCTGCATGGTCTTCTTGGCTCCTGTAGTCTGGGTATTGTTAGAACATAACGAAAGAGCATTTCCACAAAGCCCTTCTCAACTCCACGTGGAAAATGGTTACTCTCACTCAATTATTACTTTCAGTTTCAAAACTGAAAGTCCTGTGTCCTGGGAACCTTCTTAGACTCAGGCAAACCAGGAAAGTTGCTCAGCCTATATAGACACTAAATTTAAGTTTGAGAGATCATTATTAATACTAATAGCTTTCATGAATTTAGTGCTAACTATGAACCTAGCACTGTGATACACACTTTAAAAGCCAAAATCCACATAAATAATTAGAACAAACCCTTGCAATAATTTCTGTTTTAGGCCCATTTCAAAGATAAAGAGAAGGTAATTTGGAGAAGGCAATTAGGCAAATTGCCTAAACCTTAAAAGAAAGATAGTTCTGGGATTTTTCAGCAAATGTCCTTCTTTAACTGTCATGCTGTGTCACCATTAGGACCCTGCCCCTAGTTCCTTACTGATGAATTAGGAAGATTATAGAAAAACTTGTCCCCCAGAGTGAAAATATTAACAGCTTGGAAAAGGTTTTGGTCACGTCACTGATCGTAACGAAGGAGCTGGGGATAATCAGAGTGTGCGCTTAATGCTTGAGGCTCATTTCTTGGCTCCCAGCTGGAGATAAACCCCTGGCTGAACTGCGACAGAACTGCTCATGTTAAAGTGCTGGGGAAGGAACCTACCTCTTCACATACACCACATACTTTGTGTCTATGTAGGTGGGCTTCCCAGTATTCCAGGTACAAGTCATGTTGCCTGAATATTCATAAATGACACAGGTTACCTTGTCAGGGACATCTGGTGGATCTGCAACAAAATGTATCACTTAGGAGCTACCATAGAAACATTGAGTTCTTCATAAAATAGTTGGTAAACTTTCCATTTTATTTGGAAGAACAGGTCAATCCCCATTCAGCACTTCTCTCATTTACTCCCTACCACCTCACCTTGCAACCCACTCTGTGTCAAACGTTGCTCCTTTCCTTTGTATATTTTTCTATATTTTCTACTCCTTTGGAGATATTAATTTGATCAAATGCCTCCCATCAAAAAAAGAAATATAAACCCCTAAGTCTCTCCTCTCATCTACCACTGTATCTTTCTCCTTTACTTAATAGCTAAACGTTAAAAAAAAAATCATTATACCGGTCTTTTTCTTCATCTCACATTTACTCTTAAACCCTTAACAACCAAGATTTGGTCCACAATTCCACCAAAAACACCGTTGCTAAGGTCGTTGATGACTTTCTCATCAATAAATCCCATGATCTCTTTTCAGTCCTTATTGACCTTGGCATCTGCAGCATTTAGTATTTTAGCCACACGCTTCTTGAAACCTCTGTGCTTTTCGGCTCCTGTGCAAGAGCTCTCCACAGTGTTTTCCTGCTACTATGGCAGATTTTCTTCTCCTCTGGCTCCTATTCCACTTTAAACATTTAGAGTTCTTTGCACTGTTGGCAGGAATGTAGACTGGTGCAGCCACTGTGGAAAGCAGTAGGGAGATATCTCAAAAAATTAAAAATGCATCTGCCTTTTGACCCAGCAATCTTACTTCTGGGAATATATCTGTAGGAACCCAAAACACAAATTTGAAAGAACATAAGCACCCCTATGTTCATTGCAGTGTTATTTACAGTCACCAAGATACGGAAGAAGCCCTGGTATCCATCAGTAGATGAGTGGACAATACAGCTATGGGACATTTACACAGTGGAATTCTATTCAGCTGTAAAAAAAAAAAAGAAAAGAAAAGAAAATTTTACCCTTTGTGACAGTGTAGATGGACCTGGAGAATGTTATGCTATGTGAAATAAGACAGTCAGAGAAAGACAATAGCATATGATTTGACAAATACTCACATGTGGAATCTAATGAACAAACTGAACTTACAAGGAAAATTGGGACAGACTCATAGATGGAGAGCAGGATGAGAGCTGGGGTGGGGGGAGGATGAGGGATTGAGCAAAAGGGAAAAAGGGCTCATGGACACGGACGACAGTGTGGCGATTGCTGGGGGCGGGGGGGGGGAATAAGGGGACTATATGACGATGGAAGAAATACAATAAAGATTAAATAAAATAAATAAGTAAAAGGTTAGTGTTCATACCTACAACAGAGTATCATTCAGCCATAAAGGGAAAGGGGATTCTGATGTATGCTACAACACAGAGGAGTCAGATACAAAAGGACAAATGCTGTGTGATTTCATTTATATGAGATATCTAGAATAGTCCATCATAGAGACAGAAAGTAGAATGGTGGTTGCCAGGAACTGGGGGTAGGAAGGAATGGGAAGTTGCTGTTTAATGGGTACAGAGTTTCAGTTTTGCAAGATGAAAGAGTTCTAGAGATGGATGATGTTGTTGGTTGCACGACCATGTTCTTAGTACCACAGAACTGTATACTTAGAAATGGTTAAAGTGGCATGTTTTATGTTGTGTCTATTTTACCATAGAAAAAAAAATTTTTTTAAATTTTAGTAATCACAAAATACTATTTCAAGATTATCTCCCTTCCCCTACCCTTCTCAGTGCTTTCTCTGAGTGGCCATATTATAGAGAACATTGTTCGTTTTTGTCTGCTCACATTTTCCCCTTTTCAAAACCGCCATCTCCCTCACTTCCAGCCTCATCCCCTCTTTACCCCAAGGGCTGTCAATCACTAGGCTCCACAGAGAAACAGGCGCTTGACTTAGGCTGATTATTCAAATACGCATTTCTCTTGGGAATGAACCCATGACTCAGGATGAACCAATCAGATTTCTCCAAAGGAGTTTTTCAGGAGCCATTGTAAAAAAGGCAGTTTCTTCCCCCCTGAAATTGTTATCTCTGAGTAACATGGAGCTATGAGTTGCTGGTGACCATCTTGCTGTCATAGTGAAACTGTCTGTTTAAGAATAAAGCTAATACAGGGGAAAACAAAACCCAAGAGATGGGAAAAGATCAGAGAATTCAGATGACATGGTTGGAGCTCTTAGGGCCTCTGGAGCGGATGAAACACCAACAACTATGGAATAGCACTTGGAATTTTCAGTTACATCTTCCAATAATAAATTACCAAGAAAAAGATTTTAAAAAAGAAGTGTGGAAATACTAACTGCTAATTATACACTAGCTTTTCTGGTGTGGCTCTCTCGGACTGTGCCTACCTGTGCAGTCCTCCCTGGGAAAGTAGGCTACTCAGAGAACGACCAAACAAATAGCAGAATGGAGGCTCATAAAGAATAAAAGTACAGACATTTATGCATCTGAAGTCATACCAAAGATTCATGTTAAATCTAAATATACTCCTGCACTTCACCTGCAAATCAGGTACCAAGAATTACTCATAAAATAAGAAATACATATATAGAAAAAAATGTATCTTCATTGCAAATTGAAATGATAATAGATATCACTTACACCTAGCAAAATAGCAATGATTTTGAAAAATGGTAATCCCCAGTATTGGAATGGATTCAGGAAAATCTTCTAACACACTTGTGCAAATTGCCACAGCCTTTATGGAGAACACTTTACATATCACAGTCTTTAAAAGCTGGAGTAATACCTTGCAACCCAGCAATTTTACATCCAAGATTGCATCCTTAATGAAATATTTATAAATACACAAAATATTTGGCTAAAAATGTGCCCCTTAAATTATCATTTATAATAAAAAAAAATTGGAAACAACATTAATACCCCAAAATAAGATTAAATAAACTATAATACACTGCTAAAATGAATCCTTAAACAATGTAGACTGCAAGTTAAGTATATGTTTAATTAGCTTAGTAAGTAATGGCCATATGATAAAGTGAAAAAAGCAAATTGTAAAATAGTGTAGTAGAGTGGCCTCATTTGAGAGGCACAGAAAGGGAGGGAGGAGAGGAGAGAGAGACTGAAACTTGAAAGACATAATCTAAATTATTAAAGAGGAATTTTATTAGTGTGAGATTATGGGATTATAGAAATGGTATTTCTTTTTGCTGGTCTAAATTTTTTAAGTCTTTATGCATTGACTGTAATTTGATTTTATAATTAAAAATTATTTTCAAACAGTAGGAATGCGCTAACACACTTTATAACATTTTGGTGAGTTGTAGCTTTGAGTTACAATGGGGAGAAACATGACACCAAATAGTATAAAGAAATCTTTAAGTTTTATTTGTGCCTTAAAGGAGGTAGCTGTGGAAACACATTAAGTTGTTTTGAATATCGATTGAATTATGGTCACTCGATGATTACAGTGATTTGTGCTGTAGTTATTTTTATTCTTTGGTTTCAGATAGAGAGTATCATTAATTTAGTAATCATGAAAGACAACTGTCAATCCTTTGGATATGTTACTTATTCCATAGCATTCTATATGAAGTGAATGCTCAGGGTTATAAATATCTGGTGGTTACCAAATACCTTTGCAGAAGATCAAATAGATTATATACACACATGCAAATAAATACAATATTTGTAATATTAATGTGAAGCTATATAAAGATGGGAATGTGAGTATGGTAATGAGAGTAAGACCAAATTGTTGTTAGATCTCATTGCCAGGTTATTCAATGTTCAAGAATAGAAACTTGCTCTACAGCCAGATACTAGAGAATACTCCAAAATACACACAGATGAGGCTTAAGTTTTTGCTCTTTCCTGTCAATGTCTTCCCTCCCCTGTTACTGGGCACTCTTTAATCAAAGGCCATGTTTTTTATTAATTCAGAGTCTAGCCAAGGATCATTTTTTACTGACAGCTTCTTGAAGGCAGAACCTGAGATTCCCACTTTTTTGAATTTCTAGCGTTTAACACACTTTTGGTGCATAGCAAACTTTAAATAAAGTGTATTTCATGAATTGATTGGCTTAATAAAATAATAATAATAAGACAAAATGAAGAAAGACCCTACGCTTCTGGCAAAGATCACTCTTTCATTTCTCATCAAAGGAGAGCACAGATCAACCTAATTGTGCTAGCAACGATACTTAAGCAATGTTAAAGATGAATATCCAGACCTTTAACTGGATAACAAGCCTGCTTCATCAAGATAAGGAGAGATCAAAGATGATTAAAATTTAAGTCAATGATGTTCAAACATTTGAATAAATGATTAAGTGATAATGTGACTGTTCCATGTATGGTTTATTTTAATTTGGTATTTTTAAATGCATAAAGACATCTAATAGTGCTTGATTTATAATTGGTGTTATTCTGATAGAACAAACTTCCCATAATAAGCATGCATTTAATCACAGATAAAAATCTAAGAAATGTTTAAAATTATGACTAAAAATGAAAATTGAGATAATAATAGTTTGTATTTCACAAATTATGCATTAAAGGACCGGCCATTTTAAATATATATGGATAACTTTTCAGGGAAAGCAATGACTCATTTATCTTCTCTCTTTTATGACTTGTCTCCAGTTTTTAAAATATACATATAATCATTTTGTTTTAAACAGTAACAATAAGTTGACATAGTGAAGCTCACAGGACGAGTATCCTGTGATCAAAGTAACCCAATGAAAGCAATATAATTTCTAGAGTACCACAAAAACCCTCAAAAATCTTTTTTTGGCCTACTTAAATAGGAAGTTTTGCTTTGCTAAGAATGCAGAACCCAAGGGTTCTTGAATCCAGGGGTTTGAGTAAGTTCTTACCTGGCAGTTACAATCTCACACTCATAACCACAGGTCTATATGAGAAGTTACAACTCACAAAGTAAATAAATGGAAAAAGTGATGTTCTTTCTAAGCATCCATATGCAGAAAATAAGTGCTTCTATTACATTGTCCTAGAAGGAGAGCAAAAGGTTATTCCCTGACCTAAAATGCTACCCAGTGGTGTTTTTTGGGGGGTGGGGGGAGGTAGAGGCCCTCAGCCCACACTGGGAGAACTACTGGTAGTAATGTCTCACCCAAACTGCAATGCAGAGAAGGAGACGACGTTTCTTTTGCCTCCTTTCTTCTTCAGGTTTAAATTAAAAACCAACCTTTCATCATAACTGTGGAAGTTGCTTATTTGCCCTTCAAAAAAATTGTATAGTATCTCAGCACCCCCACCCTCACCCCAAATGATAAATATAGTAAAGTAAGCATCAAAGCTTATTTATATTTCCTGAGGATGTGGACCAGGTAAGGAGTCCTCATATATCAGATAAGACTTCTGCCTGTGGTTTCAATTCCCACAATTTAGGGCAAATTTAGCATGTTATTATCAGTTTAATCATACATTTGCCAACCTTGTTCTTTGACTCCAAAACTTCTACTTTCTTTTCTACTACTTACACATCTTCCTCAGTTTACCTTCCATATTTCTTCTCTCTTTTGAAAATCTTGCAAAATCAGGTAACCAGAGTTAAGTAGGACAACGGCCTTATTTTAAAACAAGGAGGCTTTATGCTTTTCAGTTATTCACTCTAGAGGCCGAGTGGTTTGGCTTTTACTAGGTAAGTTCTGAAAGTGAGGAAGGAGGAACTCAGATTTGATTCTTATAAGTATGGAGGAAGAGAACAGTGCTGAACTTACTGATCTATCCTTCATAATAGCAGATACAATAATTAAATATATAATTAAGTAAATCAGCCTATATTACTCTAATAATTTAAACATCTTCATAATACTGTGAACACAAATTGACTTTAGCAAATATTTTTAAGATGAACTTGAAAATTCTATCTCTTAGTAATTAAAGTAATAAACACAATGATTCACAATTGGGGCAGTGAGATTAGAATCAGGGAATTATATCAGAATCCAAAGGATGTATTTTTAAGGGTTTAGACACATTGGCATTGTACTTTACAGTATAAAATATGCTTTACAATAAATTATTAACATTGAGTGCTTACCACAGTCAGTGTAATTTGCCTCATTTTACAGATATGGAATTGAGGCTCAGATTAGTTAGGCACTTTGCCCAAGGTCACACAACTGGTAAGGTATATAGCAGGAGCACAGAGTTAGTTTTGCAACTGTTTTTTTTCTCCCTAAATCGTAACCTCAAAATTTCACAGTAAGATCTGCTTCAAGATTGATGATATTACTTTGGAAAAATAAAAACAAAAAACATAAGTGAAAAACAGATGAAAAGGACATTTACGACCTGAGGTTGCTGTCTCTTGTGTGTGCTGTGTTTGGCCAGGCAGGTGTTGAAAAATTGTGTGTTTGAATGCACTGGTAACAATGTAAAATTTGTAGAGTTTACATTAAAAATCCATATTTCTGTCCTCTATTGAAGAGTCAAAAAAACTAGGAACATTGAGCCCTCACAATGTGGGAGCTGGGCAGTGGCTGTCTGCTGCAGACCATGTATGTGCTTTCCTCTCTGCACGGATCCCGCCAGTTTTTGTAACCGTATTTTTCACCAGTTTGGCCCGTGGAGATGTTTCAGTTTGCAACTCTTGTATTAAACTAATATAAGAAGTGAACTATATCAATTTACTTCTATTTTTAGACAAGTTGGTGATTACCAGTTAATTGTTAGACCAGCTTTCATTTGGACTTTGAATGCACCCCCAACACTTACATCCAGAAGAAATGTCTTTTCCACATATCAGTGTCTCTTGAAAATCTCCAGGACACTCAGCACTGCAATGCATAGAGGCGTGTGGTTCCAGAAAGTTGTTATACCGAAGCCGAGCTGTTGTTTTATTAATCCTCGTGATTTTAAATCTTTCTTTGATGCCATTTTTATAAAAATAAAATTTGCTTGGTTGGCAGTTCTTAATTGCTGCTTGACAATATATAGAGATATTCACACCCATCTTAAAAATTGTGGCTGGTTCTACCCAGATGTGGCCAGAACATTTTATATTTGTAATTCCTAGAAATAAGTAGATTAAAGCAATAAATTCCATGTAAAACATTAAAACAAGAGACTTAAAAGAACAGACTATTACATTTAAAATTTATTCTTTTCTATTAATTAAATGAGTTTCATTGGGAAAAGTTTTGGGACTAAGTGTATCTTTAAATTGATTAGTTCATTATTATGTATTTTCACTATGCAGCTGTTAAGATTCAGCAGCATGATATAAGACTAGTGTCAGCCTTTAAGTTTCTCTGTCTAAAGAGCAAATATAATTAGCTGTTTTATTTTATAGCAGAGAAGACAATTTATGCATTATGAGGATATACCTTTTTTAAAAGGTAAGATTAGACATAACATTTGACACTATACAATCCAAACTCCATTCTTTAGCTATCGGTCAATAGGTCACCATTCATTATTTGGTAGATAAAAGCCACTTTTACCAGAAAATTCTGAGTTTAAAGAATAAAACTATACTTTTAACTTGTGACAAAAATCTATTGCTTGGTAACCACTTAAAATTCATCCTTAATTTAATAATATGGGATATGTTCAGAATTTTTTTAGGTTAAAAATTTCCAAAACAACATATTGTGTTCAATGTTAGAAATGAATAGATGGGTTAATCAAAGAGAAATAGACTTATAATGACAATAAATTAGTAAGTCAATAATTTTTCAGTACATAGAAAAAAATCAGTTATCAGAAGGAGTCAACATGGATTACATAAGAATAAGTCATATTTCTATATGTTAATTTCTCTTCTTCATAGGGTTCTTGGATTGAACAGAGGAATGTTAAACATGGTACTATATATATATATATATATTTTTTTTTTTATTTCAGCAAAGCTATCGAAAAAGGGTAACAGCATTCTAATAGAAAACTTTGAAGAGGTATTCTGGATGATACTAATTTTTTCATAGCAGATTGAACAAAAAATATATAAAATAATTTCTAATGGACAGCTGAAAGATCTCTAATGCCATATTACTTACATTTTTCAAGAAGCCAAAAAAAGTAACTGGTGACTTATTTCCCCTAAATTTTCTTAGATAGTGTTGGCCTGACTCTGGAAGTGTCCCGAATCCTGCTGGAGGGATTCTAGTTCTGATGATGAAGCTATCTCTATATCTCTAACATAATTGTGTCCCAACCTGTAGAGAAGTTTTGCACTTGTCACTACTCTGAGTAACTTGCATCATCTGCAAAGATTTCTTCAAGGTCAAGAGCCCTGCCTTGATCTTGTATGTCACTCAGTAAATGTGTCCTTGCCATTGACCCAGGATACTATTGCCTGCAATAGAAACTCCTAAGTGCACCCTGGCTGGTGTGGCTCAGTGGATTGAGTGCCGGCCTGTGAACCAAAGAGCCACTGGTTTGATTCCCAGTCAGGGCACATGCCTGGGTTGTGGGCCAGTTCCCCAGTAGGGGGTGCATGAGAGGCGACCACACATTGATTTTTCTCTCCCTCTCTTTCTCTTTCCCTTCCCCCCTCTCTAAAAATAAATTAAATAAAATCTGTAAATAAAAAAATAAATAAATAAACCTCCTAAATGCCAATGGCTGTCCTGTCTGAACTTCTGATGATCCCTCTCCTGGAGTCCTCAAAAATGTTTATGTCTGTCATAGTGCCAGATGTTTGTGTAAATTATAAGATGGGAATAATAGTAACACATAATACTACTGCACAAAGTTGTTGGTGTGAGGAATAAAAACCTTAGCACAGTTCCTGACACAGAGTAACCATCAACATATGGTTTGTGGAATTAAATTAAATCGAAAATGTTTGATGGATTATCATATAACAGTTGTAATAGTTCAGAGATAGACCGTGCCAGCTCAGAGTAATACACTCCTTCATGGAAACGTTTAGACATGAGTTCAAGGTCTGCCCGTTATGGATACTTGAGAAGGAGCCCTGCGTTAGGAGGGAGGTCGGACTTCTTTATTTCATTCCACGTACTTTTTATGTGCATATAATTTTTCCCAATATAACAATTTTTGATTCTTCAGAGATCCTAACATACCTCGAGAACATTAGACACTCTGCTTTATTTGAATAAAAGATATAAAAGATAACAATAGGTATTCAGATACTATACCTCCATGACACCAACTGAAGAATATGTAAAGAGCTATCACCACATCCCATTGAATTGTGACCTGATTCATTACTGAAAGCAGGACAAAGCTCCTTGTTCTCCTCTAGGAAAAATATGAAAAATGTTTAAATTGTAATATTTTAATAAAATATTAAAAGGCACTGCAATTTTTTAACAGTTATTATCATCTTCTGATGAAAACCTTTGATTAGGAAGAAAGGAAAGAAGGAAGGATGGAAAGAAGGAAGAAAACAGTAAAAAGTCACTGGTGTGTGTGGAGGTATAATTAGGTTGAGAAGTAAAGCAGAAGAATGGCATTTTATGCCCTTCAAAAACCACTATGAATTACCTCAATATGACCTTTTGACCCTTGATATAGTACATTTCTCCTATCTAGTCTCTCTCATCAGAAATATCTTTCTGCTGTAATTCCTAATGATGAATTTTCCTCCTGACCAGGTTATGCACCTACCAATCTCCAGAAATATCAGAATTTGATGACTAAAATTTTGGAACAACCAGAAATTTCAGGGTCCCCAGAGAAAAGGCATTTAAAATGAAGAAAGATGAAGTGAGACATTTGTGTATGTTATCACCAGTTAAACTTATAGAATGCTCTTTCATCCATAAAAAAAAGTGCAAAACAAACACGTTATTTCCATGAATTTCCAGAAATTTCCATGAATTTATAACTGGAGTTACATTATTCAGTTAGTTTCTTACATTATTAATAATTCAGTTATTCAATAATCGACATTATTCACTTACTTTATCTGTTTAGTAAAACTTGGGCCTTCCATATAAAACAAACAAAAAAATTCATGTCTCATCAAATAGCATAAAATATCTGGTAACATTTTTAAAAACTGGTGTTCTCATGACTCTTGAATATAGGGATTCTTTTGATAGTTGTTAACAATAGTAGGTCTTCTTTTTATAAATAACAGGCAAAACAAATCCTAAAATGTTTCTAGTCAGAAGTTAACTACTCATCTGATAGAATATACACAATGATTATTATTTAAGGTGACGTGATGTCAGATAATATTATAGATTCAACTTTCATCAGTAACTGCTGTGTAAAATATCACAAGAACTTATAAGAGAAAATAACTTTGCCCATATATTTTCAAAAAGAAATACAGCTGCTTTAAAGTATTTGGAAGATCGCTTTCTCTTTACCTTTCAATCTGTTTGAAGCACATAATTCCACTTCAGAGCCTGGCCCATCATATCTGTGTCTTCTCTCCTCACTGCCTGCCTCTCAGTGATCACTTCAGATTTTCAGCTATGAGACAAATGGAAATGTCAGCAAAGCCTTGACCTACATTTCAGATTCTTGAAGAGGAACTCAAACTGTCCAGTTCAAAATGACTGGCTCTTTTGTCACTTTTTGGGAAAACCCAGATTACTGAAAGTGAACTGCTTTGTCAGTACTTTTTTTTCCCCTTAGCTTAAATTAAAATTACCTGTCTCATTCAAGAAGTAGAAAACATATACATGCTTGGTCAAAATCTTTGACACCAAGAATATGATGCTTGGCTTAAATTTGCAGCCAACATTGATGTTAATCATAAATGTGTTTCTTAAGAAAAGGAAATTTAAGTGCTACTGTTGACCATTAATTTGTTTAATGTGTATTTTTCAGTACTATGTGCCAGGTATTGTTCTGGGTGTTAAGGATATAATGATGATTGATTACGTATCAGCTTCTTTGTTGTATTGTGTACAGTCATTAAACTATAGATTGGTTGCTTTGACCTACCATGAACAGCTCAGCAAGATTCTACATACAAATAAAAAAATTTACCAAATATTTGGTTGGTTTATAGTAGGCATCTCCAGGGGCTTTTCCATGCATATGTTCCCTTCCTGCCTCCTCTCTTTGTACTACATGCTTATCTTTCACTATAGACATTCCTTCCTACTATAAATTACAATTAATTTACTTGTTTTCTCTATAGCAAACTTCTTAAAGTCAGAAAATCCACACTTTTTTATTTTTATGTCTTTAATACTTCACAAATTAGAATACTCTGGAAGAATACTTGAAATATTCCTATGCTTAGATTCATTCTAGACAATGAAGTCAGAATTACTGTGGGTGGAGGCTGGGTATTGATATTTTTCAAATGCACCCCCCTCAGGTGATATAATGAACAGCCAGAGTTGAGAGAATCACTGTAATATACAAATAAGATTGTTTTTGAAGACCACACAGAAGAAATGACTATCAAGTGGGTTTTAATGATTTGTAACAGTTTTCTAACCTGTGAAGAAGAGGGTGTGGGAAAACATTTCACATACCAAGAACAAAATGTGCAAGTAATGTTGATGTTTTGGGACTGGCAAGTATTTTTCCAGGGTGAAAAGAATAAGATTTGATCTGGAAAATTAGGTCAATGGCAGAATGCAATGGGCTTTCTACACCTGCTAAGCAGTTTAACCTTTATGTTGATGTCAGTCAAGAGATAGCAGAGATTGTCAAATAGAAATAGCATGATTGGATTGGATTTTTAGAAATATAATTTAATTATAGCATAGAGAATTGACTGTAGATGAAAAACCCAGTTAAGAGGCTATTAAAAATCAAAAGCTGATGAAGACCCAAAGCAAAGCAAAAGCAGCAAGAACTGAGAGGAGAAAACAGAATTGAGAGCTATGTGGAGGCAGGTTGGACAGTCATTTGTGACCAATAAAGAAATGGTGACTTCTGGAATGTGCAGTCAACAACGTGTGTGGATAGTTAAGATTTCAGGACAGGAAGAATGACTCTACTTGACTAGTTTTGCTGACCCTGTAGATAATGACATTTATTGAACACACAGAAGGAGGTGTGATGGTGGGGAAGTGATGAATTTGGTTCTGGGTATATTGATTTGGATGTGCTTATCACATATTGAGAAAGAACTATCTGGTAGGCTCTTGTAGACTTTGGTAAGCTCAGGAGAAAAGTTTTGAGCTAGAGATCTAAATCCAGATGATTTCAGCATGTCAAAAATATTGAACTAAGATTAGAATATGAGGACTCAGAGAGAACACACAGAGCAATAAGGGAAAGGAATGGGTGGTCAGAACCCGAAAATGTTGACCCAAAAGATAGGAAAAGATCTAAGTAGTGTGTGGTCAGTGTGAAATGATCAGAGATTACATATAAGAACTAAAAGGAAGTGTTGGATTTGGCAATAGTCAGGCTTCCCTGAGAACAGTTTCAGAAAAGAAATGGAGGTAGAAACGAGATGGCAGTGAATCAGAATAGAAAATAAACAAGAAGACATTGGGTAATCTTTCAGGAATTTGGACAGTGGAGATGAGATTGATGGAGAGTTCAGTGCAAATCAGGATTTAGGTATTTATTTTAATGGGGGCTCATGGTGGCTCTTAACCATCTTTTCATGTGTTTATTTGCTGTATTTCTTTAGTAAACAGTCTGTTCAAATCTTGTGCCTATTTGTATTTGTTTGTCGTTTTTCTTACTATTGCATTTTGAAAGTTCTTTATGTATTTCTAAAAATCAGTCCTTTATCAGATATGTGATCTGCAACTATTTTATCCTAGTCTGTGGCTTATTTTTTCATTTTCCTAATGATGTCTTTCGAGAGCAGAAGTTCTTGATTTAAGCTCAACTCATTAACTGTTTTAGTGATAAATATATTTTGTGTACTGTGAGCTTCTGCTCACATTTTCATCAATATACCAATACATAATCTTGTTTTATGTGTATTTCTGTTTAAAGACACCTTATTTAATCTGTGCTGTTGATTAATTAACATTAGACTTAGAGCCAAGAGCACTGTCATTCATGCCTGAACGAAACTTATCTAACATATGTATTTGTAATGTACAATGCAGCCTTCTTGCACAGAGGACTTCAGGATGATATTTGGAGGCCATTTTAAACAGTGAAATCACCAACAAAAAGCACAAAATGTAAAAAATGTGGTACTAAGTTGACTGAAAAAGACTCTTGTTCATAGTATGAGAGCTGTACCAACCATTTTGCACCCTCCAATATACTGTACTGGGGTGTCCAACCTGCGGCCCATGGGCCACATGTGGCCCAGGATGGCTATGAATGCAGCCCTACAAAAAAACTGTAAATTTACTTAAAACCTTTTTTGTGCTTATCAGTTTTTGTTAGTGTTTGTGTGTTTAATGTGTGATCCAAGACAATTCTTCTTCCAGTGTGGCCCAGAGTCACAAAAAGTTTGGATACCCCTGCATGTAGATTGTATGTGCAAGTAAAGTGAAGAATTATTTTGATGACTGATTGTGCCATCCTGCCTTTCTGTTGTTATAGGGCCTAATAAAGGGCTGCACATTCTTTTCGTGTCTTCTTTGTGTCAACATACCTTGTGCCACGGGCTGTGACTACAGAGGAGGATGTAAATGGCTTTCAAGGATCCTGAAGTTGGGAAAGAATATTGTATATAAAAAGTACAATGAGAAAGAATAAATGCTAAAGAAGAGATATGACAATAGTTATATGCAGGGAGGAATATGGAGCAGCCTCAGGTCCGCCCTTTTGCAAGCATTAGCCCTGAGTGCCAACTCCTGTAGAGCAAAGCTTACCTAATCTGGGTCAATGACTTAGACTCAGTTTCTTGCCTGTTCTCTCCACTGTTATCTCACACTTGTGACTCTGAACCAGATTTTATGGTACCAGGACCCTCTTTCAACTGCCTCTCCTGCTACTACATCATGCTCCACACTGTATCCACTTTACTTCACCAACACTGCCCAGCTCACTGTCTGGCCCTGTCCTGCTTTTCAATGCTCACAACTGATTAATTATGAAAAGTACAATTTCAGCCCTATGGTGTTTACTTAAGGAGGTAACAGAAAATATTATTCATTTAAGAGAACATTTAAAATGTTGAACTTATTTTTCTAACTTCATGGCTTATACTTGAAATGATAGGCTTTAATTATCTTGATAACTTTACTTGGAAGAACACATTCTTCAAATAAGCAAGATAAATTAGCTGATGCTTTATTTTATTAATTTTCTCAACCACAGAATTAATAACCTCATTATTCAAAAAGACTTATGTGGAGTCTATGAAAAGA